TGCCAGAACAATGAATAAATCTGTCTTGGAAGAAGTGTAGCCAGAATGCTCCTTAGAAGCAAGAATGGCCAGACTTCATCTCACGTTGGTCATGTTGTCAGAAGGGACCAGTGGGGAAAGTTAACATGCTTGGTAGAGGGTCAGTGAGTGAAAAGGGGAAAACCTTCAACGAGATGGATTGACATACAAGCATAGCAACAATTGTGAGGATGGTGCAGGACCGGGCAACGTTTCCTTCTGTTGTACATATGCGTTGGAACCAACCCAGCCGCACCTAAAAAGTCTAAGGAGCCCTGTGGTGCAGTGGTTAAAGCACTCAGCTGCTAACTGAAAGGCTGGTGGTTTGAACCAGCAGTGAGTCAGTGGGAGAAAAGACCGGGCAATCTGCTCCCATAAAGATTACAACCTAGGAAACCCTGTGGAGTGGTTCTACTATGTGCTATAGGGTCGTTGAGTCACAATCAATTTGACAGTACACAGTAATATTTACTAGGTTATTCCATGAGGTAGGGAGTCCCTGGGGTGGGGGGAATTACACCCATTCTTCCCCCAGCCCTCTCATCTGTATTTCTATACACCTTGTATATAGTCTGAGTGGGACTTGCCAAAATATGCTTTACTGTTATCTGTATACAAATCCTATCTCCCCATTTAGACTATAAGCTCCTTAAAGGGCATGGACCATGAATTGCCATCTTTGTATTCTGCCCACTGCTTTATGAACTAAGGTGGCTCAGCCAATGCTTATTAAATACAGCCCAGTCTAACCAATTGTTCTCTCTACCTTCTCTGCCATATTCCTTAAATCCTATCCTGCTGACCATGGGATGCCCAACAACTTTTATGACTACATTTCACACAAGCATGGACTATAAGGAAAACAAAACAAACAAAAAAAAACCTTCCTGTCCATTCCTGGCCTGATCCGTATGTTTCTTCCCCCTCCTTCCTTCCTCCTATGTGTCTGAGTCACAGTCTCTGTGCACTCTACTCCTAATTTTGTTTTAGTCGTGTTTAGCAAGCACATTCTGGATTGCAGAGATCAAAAGACACATCAGCCTGGTGAGACAGAATAAACTCAAGTCTCCTGAGTCTTGGGGCTGGCAAAGGTGAAATACTGTTAGTAACCTTCAAGGGCACATGAAGAGGTACCAGAGTAATTGCCATTCTGATTTTCAAAATCGTAAGGTACAATCTGCATGCAATACATAGGCTAGTGAATTTTAGGTCTATGCCTGGCAAGAAGACTGGTTTGTGAACTCTTAACTGAAAGGGGCCTTCACTTGAACTGGGTTGAGATTCACTACAAACCATGTTGCCTCTCCTTCCAATGAAGATCGAGGAGAGGCAGCAGCAGTAATACCTTGCCAATTCAGCAAGATACTTGGGCTTCTGATGTTATCTTTGTAGACAGAAATGTGGCCAAGACCAAGGAAAATTTCATTAGCAGCTGATTAGGTTAGTGGGATCTATGCCAAAGTTAAAGTAAACTTCTGGAGGTAAGTTATTTGATTCTGGCCCAACAGTCTCAGATGGGAGAACAATGGAAAACCGTGTTAACAATCAGTACTAAAACATATGGACAGGTTGGAGCAACGGGAAGGTTGTGATGAAATCTGAACAGGGCAAAAATACAAAGTCAAAATACCAACTGCCCATATACAGGAGGAAGGTGGAATCAAATAACTTACCTTTAGATATTTGCTTAAGGGGGGTCCTGACGGCACAGTGGTTAAGTGCTCGGCTGCTAACCAAAAGGTCAGTTGTTTGAACTTACCAGCTGCTACGAGTCAGAATTAATTCGATGACAATGGATATAAATGCTTGTTAGGCAAACATCTGTATCCCAATAACCCGGTCTTACTTAGGTCTTCAAGCTGAGACGCAATCCTGGGATGCGTGTGACCTGTAGGTATCACAAGCACAGTGAGATTCTTGTTCTAGTTTGCACTGTAAGTTAATATCTGGGTGGAATGGTATGTTCCTTTCTGGCCCTTCGCTCTATAGCTAGGTTCTGAAGAGAGTAGCTGGCATGGGGGAAGAACACGGGAGCACAGACGTAGGAAGATGTAGTAGCTAAGGGACTGCAGTCTGTGGTCAGACATCCTGGACCCAAGGATGTTTCCACCCATGGAAGCCGTGATGTGGAGCAATTTATTTAACTTCTGTGATCCTCATTTTCCTAATCCACAGAGGATAATACCCACCTCATAAGGTTGTTTTGAGGATTAAGTCACTTCATAGCAAATTTCGGCACATTGATTAGTATTTGCTAATATTAACTGAGAAAGTTCTGGTGGCATAGTGGCTAAAGCATTTGGCTGCTACGGTCAGCAGTTTGAACCCACCAGCTGCTCTGGAGGAGACAGATGTGGCAGTCTGCTTCTCTAAAGACTCACAGCCTTGGGAATCCTATGGGGCAGTTCTACTCTGTCCTCAAGTGTTGCTGAGTTGCAATCAACTCAATGGCATTTTTTTTTTTTTTTTTTAATATTAACTAAAGAAATCTGAAGCTTTGCTGGAAGATTCATAATGAACATTATGGCCCCTTCCAAATATTTTATGAATTGTATATGGAAGAGAGAAGAGCTCCTCTGAATAACCTGTGGATAGAAGTCACATGGAGACTGCTCAGTTACATGTAAGGAAGAGCTTTCCACTGAGCAGAAAGGCCTGCAGACGGAAGCTGTGGTCTTGAAGTGTTGCCGCACAAGGCCTTACACCGCATGGCAGGGATCAGCAGGGGAATTGGGGGCCTCTTGGATGGAGAAGGTGACCTTTCAGGCCATCTAAACTTGAGATTCTATGATTCCAGGTCTTATTATTTTGGGTTCCCTCAGCTTAGACACGTTCACACTCACCTGCACACTGAAACTCCAGAGTAACAAAGACTGCCATCTCACCTGTTATCAGGTGCCATCCATAAAACCATAGGGTTTTCCAGGCTGTAATCTTTAAGGTCTTTCTTCTAAAGAGCTGCTGGGTGGGTTCAAACTTCTGACCTTTTGGTGCAGCTGTGTGCCCAACCATACCTAAAAACCAAAACCAAACTCACTGCCATCGAGTCGATTCCGACTCATTGCGACCCCTCCTTAGGTTTCCGAGGCAGTATCTCTACGGAAGTAGATTGCCCAACCTTCCTTCTGAGGAGTGGCTGGTGGGTTTGAACCTATGGCCTTCTGGTTAACGGTCAAATGCCTTAGGCACTACACCACACCTAGACATCACAAGATTCCCATTTATACTTCCAATTTAGAAGGGGAGAGCAAAAACTAAGGAGCTCTTAAGTTGCCTTTCAGACTAGCTGGTGTGTGACTGAAATCTGGACCCCCTTTTCTATAAAGAATGCTAGAAGACAAAGACAAATACAAAGCCCAAAAAACAGTTCAGTTTATCTTCTGCTCCCTTTCACATGCCAGAGCCTGCCTCAATGAAATACAGTGTCAGGAAGCCGCACAGAAGTTCAGATCAGCACCTCTTCGGAATCAGACCTGCTGCAACCACGGTTACCATGGGACCCTGACAAGTTGGAGGGTAGAAATACCACCTTAGAACATTCCCAATAGCCCTGAAAAAAGGTGGCTGGTCAATCAGCCTACGTATGACAGACAGCACCAGAAAAGCTCTGTGAATAAAACTTTTAATAATGTACAGCAGAAACTGGACAGGCTCATTCTTATATTAAAACAAAAGATTTCCTATATTACAATTTATTTACATTTGCATACTGAAGAGGTAAAGTGTCTAAGTGGCTATTTTACAGTCCTTTCTAGTAAAATGTACAAAAACAAACAGGAGTACCGAGAATGCCGTTCAGGGGCCTTGGTGGCGACAGAAGAACGGGCTTGGACTTGGTCTGTGAATCCAGAATCCACAGGTGCAGGTAGCCCTATGGATCAGGGTTAGCCTCACGGGGCCAAAAAACAGCTTTAGTTTCTCCCCAACTCTTGCTTGGTGTTAAGAGTGTTTGGGTGGGGGGCTTCCCAAAAAACTTGCTCAGTCTTCCTCAGGGGTGGAGGAGCTGGACTGTGGGTGTGGTGGGCACAGAAGGGCCACCTGGGAAGCAGGCTAGTGGCTTGGAAGTTGCTGGGTCGACATGTTGGCAGATCCCAGAGGCTAGTTGTGACTGGGGGCAGAGGAGTGGATGTTCTATCATCACCTATAACCCACTGAGGTTCTGCTGCTGGGTGGACAGGTGAGGCCCAGCAGAGGTGGGGAAAGAACCCCTAATGACACAATTAGTACTCAAGGAAAATTAGTCAGTGGCCAGTAAATTGGCCTAAAGGGCTTGGGGAGGATCTCCTTTGATGCAAGGAAAGCAACATATCAGGAAAATAAATAGAAAGGCTAGAAGCTGGGGAGACTGAGGTTGCAGGGAGAGGGGTCTCGCCTCCTCCACGGGCTTTGGCAGAGACTTGCTGGGCGGTAGAGGCAGGGATGGGGCTCAGAATTAATGTAATGATTTGGTGTCTCACTGGGGCTCAGAGCCCCAGGACTCCCTGCCCCACCAGCAGTGCCTTGGTGGTGGTAGGGGGCAGCCTTTCTCCTCAGTCCATAATTACAGGCTCAAAAAGCTCTTAGAACCAGCTACGAAACATTCTGGTTTCAAAACAGGCCCCCACTTCCTTCAATCAGCTCCTTCTTCAGTGCTCTAAGTGTAGGACCAAGCCTGTCTTGTTTGCAGATGTACTCCCAGTGCCTAGTACAGTGCCTGGCACCCAACAGGCACTCAATACACATTTGCTGAGAAAACGCCTGGAGGAAAAGGCACAACCAGCTGGACAATGCACAAAAGACTAGGGCCCTAGACCCAAAAAACCACTCACAGGATCGGGTAAGGGATGGGGAACAGTGCCAGAGAGACTAACCCCTGAGGGCAAAGAGGAAATCTCACTGCTGAGTAGGGACAGGCTCAGGTACGAGGACAAACATTTCCAGTGTGATTGAGCTGTGCGCGTTTGATTGAAGAACTTTTTTTGTGTGTTGTGTGGTTGGTTTCATAGGGATTTCTTTTAAAAAGAAATAAATTGAGAGGTAATCATCACATAGAGATGGTTTTCCTTTTACGAAACTTAACATTATTTAAAAAAAAATATCCAGACCCTCCCAATAAAATTAAAAAAAAAAAAAAATCAAACCACTCCAGTTAAAAGTTATGGCTTCAAAGTTATTACATACCTAAGATACGCTGACCAAATCACCACCCACAACCGTGCTTCTAGACGTCATTAAATACTACAGTCAGGTTAAATAACATGTTCAGCTCAGGCTGCTCCCTCCTTAGTAGGGCCCCTGAAGTAGATGCAAATCTCACATCGTCCCTCCACCCTGATCAGATCATCCAGTAAATAAGACCCATGCAGATGCCTCCCGCCCGCCCCAGACTCCCTCCCCACTCCTTGCCCCCGGCCCCCTCCCCACCCTAAACCCACCACCACCAAAAATATACACTGCTGTTTCCAGAATCTGGGCAGGAAAGACAGATGGGGCATTCCAACCGAGTCCCAAGATCTGGGCTTCAAATTCCCGGGCCCTTCCTCGGGCTGCTGGGGAGGATGCCCTTGGGCTGGCTCATTCCCCACGGAGGTCGCTAATGACAACACCCAAGACTTTTGCCAAGATTCTTTCCCTGCCCATCCCCACCCTCTCTCTGACACTGTGACCCAAAAGCCTTCTGCCATGGACAACTGGGCCAGCTTTGGTTCCAGTCTAAAATGGAGGAGAGCTGTGCTGGCACAGGGGCGGGTGGGCAGAGCAGCCTGTGGGAAAGGAGTCCCACCATGGCACAGGGGCTCTGGTGGAGGGGAAGGGGCCCTCCAGGGACGGGCACCAGAGAACTAGATGCTTCTCACTACTGAACACAGAGGTACCGGCACGCAGAGATGGCAGGACAACCACACCCCAGACCTGCACATGCACAGAAGCTCAAACAGGTAAGTGTGTACCTACACACACACACACACACACACACACGTAAGGGCGTGGCACGGACCAGGCACAACAGGGGACGCACCTCGGCACATGCACACACGGCTGGACAGACAAGTGGCAGATTGGGTCTCCACTGGCAACCCCTCCAGATGTCCGTGCGAGGGAGGAGGGGAACACTTGGCTTACAGCTGCCTGGAGAGGGGCTGCCCTTTGGGCCCTGTGGGCCTCTCCAGTGTGCGATGGGTTGGTCCCTGAAGGAAAACCGTCAGTGCTGCTCAGCACTGGCAACGACTCGGCTCCTTCCAGCCCCTCCCAGGCTGCCCCTTTCACTGGCTCTCGACTGTTCGCCAGGTGTGCCAGGGCTTGCAGAACTTCCCAATACAACCAGTTTGAGTCGTGGCATTGAGTCCTCCACACGATTCGCTCTCAGAGTCTCCATGCCATTAGGAGGTAAATATAAAAGGTGTCTGTGTCTCAAACCCAACATGGGAGTGAGCGAGTCTCCCGGGCTCTGTCCCTCTTGCGGGCCAGGCGTCCTGGCCACGGAGGGCTGGGCAGAAACGAGAGGTAGGCCTCCATTGTACGCTCAACACAGCAGCTGTATGTGTAGTTCTCGCTGCCCACGGTTGCGTGTAGGGGGAGGGGGAACAGGGTTAGATCTTCACATCTTCCTGCACGCTGAGCTGCGAGAGGGTCTTCTTAATGCGCAGGGCAGTCAGGCGGGCTGCTCCGTTGGCATACCAACACTCCCGCATCATCTTCCCCATCACCCGTAATGCCTGCAAAAAACCAGAGGACATCAGTGGCCCTGCCCTGGAAACGCCTTTCTGGGCTCCAGGCTCCTGCTCGCTTCCCTGCCCCCATCTCTTCAGTCCAGAACCTCCCCTCCCCCCACTCTGGCTGCAGGCAAAGGTTTTGTCAGCTTTCTTCTCCCCTTTGGCTCTACCTTCCTGAAGGGACTGGATATACAGGTAAGAGGGAAAAGCTGCCGTCTGGAGGGTGGAGGGTGGAGCGCCTTCTCTGACCAAGTACAGTCAGCCATTCTCCATCATCCGGAAAAGCTTGAAAGAAACCCCAAACACAAAGGGATCTGAAAAGCATTCTTTCAAGCTTGCGAATCAATTTTATGACTATGTACTAATTACGTTAAGTAAAAGGAAAAAAAAAACTTCCCGTGCAGAGATGGAGGTGATGAAGAGAGAGGACAAGAACCCCTTAAAAGCAATTCCATCAGAGGCATAAAGCTACCCTGTCATTTCCCGACTACACAGAAAGCCACTAAGATTAGGCTGAGAGGTGGCTAACAAAGTCACCTGCGGACTGCTACTGGTTATTTATTGAGGGTTCCAAATGTCCCTGATAGCTAAGGTCAAAATTAGTTTTCAGCAGTGGAAACTATTTTCCTAATCAGAACCCCAACTATAAAATGGAAAACTACAAACCAGTTCTCTCAGTCTCACCCTCATCCTCTGAAGGAAACTCTAACCCAAGGGTTCCTAGAAACACTTTGAAAAACATTCCTGTTAGTCAATGGAAGAAGCCCTGGTGGGGCAGTGCTTAACTGCTAATTAAAAGGTCAGTGGTTCGAACCCACCAGCTGCTCCAAGGCAGAAAGAGGAGTTAGTCTGCTTCTGTAAAGATTATAGACTTGGAAACCGTACAGGACATTTCTACTCTGTCCTGTAGGGTTGCTATGAGTTGGAATCAACTTGACAGCAATGGGTTTGTTATGCATTAACTAAAATGTCACTGGAGGAGCTTTGTCCTTGAACCACAGATGTCCTCTAGTTGTATACTCTTTAAAAACAGCCACTGACAAGTAGCAACTGGGATCTTAAAAAGCTTGCAAGCGGCCATCTAGATGCAACAATGGGTCTCTCCTCATTCAAAGCAAAGAACGGAAACCAAAGACACATGGAAACAATTAGTCCAAAGGAAGTGGTAGACCATGTGATCCTCAGCCTACAGGACTATGAGACCAGAAGAACTAGATGGTGCCTGGCTACCACTGTCAACCACTCGGAGGGGGATGATCCTGGATAGAGTGGGAGAACAATGTGGAACAAAACTCAAAAACATTAAAAAAAAAAAAAAAAAGGGACCAGGTTTGCTGGTCTGATACAGCCTGGTGGAACCCCTGAGACTATGGTAGCTGCCCTTCAGGTCTGGAATTGAACACACTCCTGTGGCTTCCAGTCAAACAAAAGACAGGCATGAGCTGAACATTTAATTAGGTAGATAGACTCCTTGGAGAGAACAATCATGGGAGAGTAGAAGGGTTGTGTATACACAGGGAGATAGCTTGTGGGGTGGGGGGCAGAAGTGCATGGGAGGGAAGGACTAAGGGAAGAGGTAACTATGGGGAGGAAGTGAGAGGGGAGCTGTTGTATTGTGGGAAATTGCAGTCAATGTCATGAGACAAAATGTATGTGAGCTGCTGTATGGAAAATTAATTTGCTCTGTAAACTTTCACCCAAATCACAATAAAAATTAATGACAGCAACAACAAACAACAACCAGCCAGTGAGTAAAAGGAAGCCCAGGTGCAGTTAGTTGGGCAAATTCTGCTCCCCTCGGAAGGCTCTCAAGACCCTAGAACTCCATGTCTATTAGGAATCTGTTATACGTGTGTCCTCTTTTCAATTATTTCCACTAAATACGGTCCATCCTTACTTCATCTGCCATCTCTCCCCAATTCAAATTCTCCATCCTAATCCCAACTCCTTCACACGTCACCTTTGTCCCTTCTGAGATTTTAGAAAGGCCACTTCCCTCACAGACATGTCCCCTGGCTAAGTTCTATTCCCTCATTCTTCGAAGTCATAAGAGTTCCTTTTATGGATGTCTCGTCTTAACTATTTACCTATTTGGCTTACCCCTGCGGCTCCTGAGCTATTTTTGTAGTTACACAGGTCTAACGGTGCCCAGTTCAGTTTTTGTTTCTGTCTCTTGGTGATCACCTCCCTTGACTGTGTCCTAGGGATAAAGCCTTTTCCTTCTACTAGGCTGTCAACCCCAAAGGGCATGCTACAGTGGCCAGGACAAGGGACCACGATCCCAAAGTGCTCAGTACAGAACAGCACAGGTCTACTAACCCACTCAGGGGTAGATGTGAGAGATGGCTCCATTGTCAGGAGACCATTTGTTTTTTAAAAAATTTTTATTGTGATTTGGGTGAAAGTTTACAGAGCAAATTCATTTTACATACAGCAGTTCATACACATCTTGTTTCACGACTGCAATCCCTACTATGTAACAGCTCTCTTCCCACTTCCTCCCTGTAGTTACTGCTTCCCTGTCCTTCTTTTCCTATGCATTCCTGCCCTGAGCTATCTCCTTGCGCAAATACTGTCCTTCTGTCAGGAGACCCTTTCTTATCGTAGAGAAATCAGGCAAATGGAAAAGCTGCAGGAGGCAGGGAATCTTCCTACCTCATAACTTTGCCACCAGTTGGGGATGTTGGGACGTAGCTTCTGATCACATACAACCTTTCGCATTTCCTCAATGGAAGGGTCAGAGGGCACTAGGTCATAATATGGCAGTTGATAGTCTTCATGCACTCCTGGAAAAAAGAAATGACCAATCTGAGTTATCAACAGAAGGAAGGGATTACTCAAAAGCCAATGACAACATCCACACTGTGGTCTGTAAATACCACTTCCCACTAAGACAAACTAGGGCTCCTGGGAGAAGTTGGTCAATTCCTGATATGAGGCAAGAAATACACATTATTTGCCAGGAATATCTTTTTTATATACTAAAAGCAAGGAAACTATAAAAGACTATGGGGTCGGTCATGTCAAAAGGACTTAGGTACCAATCTGAAAAGCTCCCAACTGGCCACAAATGAGGACATTTAAACAAGTACTTTTAAACCCATCAGCTCTTAATGATACTTGAAAAGAAAAACCTGTACCTTTGTAAGATGCTAAGGAACAAATTCATTTTGAAAAATGATAAATAAGTGGAAAGATTCAAGTATTTATCCTGCCCTTCCTATTCAAACTACACATCTCGCTAACCAAATACATCTAACCAAATACATAATTACGGGAAGTTTCTCTTTAAAGAAGAAATACATAAAGATTGATAGAATCAGGATACTGGCATTTTTCAACTTGTAATAAATGGGAATTTGGACAATGATCACTGATGGCTGTCAACGGCACAGAGAGAGAGAACTAGGCTTCCTTGTGATGGAAGTACAGAATAACATCTATGGAGAATTTCTGGGGGGAAAAAGCAATCAAATATGATGTTCCAGCTGCTAGATCTAATTAATATGAAATACCAGGAACAGAACCATGTGAACTCTATGAGGAGGCAATCCGCAAATTCTAGACCAGAAAACTTCACAAGACGAATGACCTGGATTTTTCACAAACAAACTGAGGAAGAAGGAATAAATGAATAAATAAATAAATGGAGGGGGAACCTGAAGATTAAGAGACTTATGAGATTGTCAATCAATTGCAATAAATGGATCTTATTTGGGCCCATATTTGAACAAACTACTTTTAAAATATTAGGAGACATCTCAATACTGCCTGAGTATTAAATGGTATTAAGAAATTAATGTTAGTTTTTTTTTAAGTGATTAAGAATATTGCATTTTCACAGGGAGATAGCTCAGGGTGCAGAAGAGTATGAAGGGATGGACACTGGGAGGAGGTAACTATGGGGAGGAAGTGGGAGGGGAGCTGCTGCATTGTAAATTTTGGTCAATGACATGAGACAAAGTATATGTGAACTGCTGTATGAAAAGTGAATTTACTCTGTAAATCTTCACCCAAATCCTAAAAAAAAAAAAAAAAAAAAAAAAGAATATTGCATTTTTAACTTCGTATCTTTTAGAGTTATGAATGAAAATATTTTCCATAGTAAAAGAGTTAATTTTAAAAAAATACAACAAAACTTCTTTATGTCTTTTTCCAGGAAAAACCCTACTGCCTTGAGATAATAGAACAGAATTTTAAATCAACAGTTTGACTTGGTAATTATTAAAGGGTAGTTAAGAGTTTAAGCTCTGGCCTCAACCTGTTGGGGTTTAAATTTTTACTAGCTATGTGACCTTGAACAAATTACTTAACTTCTCTGTGACTCATTCTCTTTACCTGTAAAATGGTGACAATAATTTCATAGGTTTGTAGTAAAGATCCCATGAGTTTATACACATAGGAAGTACTAAATAAATGTTAGCTCCTATTATTATCCACCACTCATCTATCACTTTATTGCACGGTAGTGGCTTGCGTGTTGCTCTGAGACTTGCGTGGGCTGAGATAAATGGCTGTGGGCAAGGTTATGCTAGAAAGGTAGTTTCTGGAACTGGATCAAGGGGCAGAGTAGCAGGAAGCCATGGTGCTCTTTGTGAAGCATACCATAAAAAGCTGAGGATAAAGTAGGTTTTCCACTAAATCTGAAACTACTTTTTACTAGATTCTGACATGGATAAGTAGTTGCAAGTGCCAAAGACTTAAGAAAAACTATGGAAGGAAAAATTCATTTTGAGAAAATTCTATGCATTGGTAAGGTTTCTCCTGCAAAGCAAGAAATCACCACTACTATTTTAGCAGTGAAACACCACAGTTTCCTAGGAACATGGCTTAAGACCCAGTGTGTTAGAATATACTGCCTCTGACGTAAAGGGGGCCTTCCACTGATCCTCTACCATGAGCACCAAGGGCATTCCTCACCTCTTTGGGTCAATAATGACAGTGTATTTAAGAAAACAAGCCAAGTGATCCCCCAGAATGATTACTACAAGCTCAAGCCCTCCTTTATGGCAACCACTCAACAGGCTGATTTAAGAGTGAACATTATCCTTAGGGACGAATGCCTCCAAGGCTCTGTGCCTTTGATGAGAACCATGTATGATTCAGGCTCTGACACCAGGCATCCTGACCGGATTCAAAAAGAAAGGAACAGGGAGGAAAGGGAAAGAGAAGACCAAACACAGAGGTACCTCCAGAATTGCATCTCCGTGCAATCTCCCAATATACCAGCCCGAGGGCATAGATATCAGCACATTTAAAGGAGTCAAAGTGTTTCATGTTTATGGTTTCATCAAGCACTTCAGGAGCCATGTATCTGCAACAACAAAGGAAACACAATCATGCATAAAAACATGTATACATGTTGAAAGGGATCTGTCTTTTAAGTCCAAGTATTGATTTAGGGGCCTCCTGAGTATGGGAATGGTATTATCCACCTGAACTACAGAGTACCACCCCAAGAAAGTCCCTTGGGGAGGAGAAAGTGATCAATTCTCTTTATGGCATATTCTCATGTATTTAGGATTCAAATCTAAATACTCAAGCATAGATTTGTCAATATTAGGCTACTTTTATTTGTATCTCTATTTTTTTTAACCATCAAGATTTGCTTATTTTAGACATGTTTTATTTTCTTGGCAGAGGTACTTGTGCTGTGGCTCAGGTAAATGGCAGTAATGATGGCAGTAACAGGACCTATTACCTGGTGGCTACTGGGGTCTGTTACCTTGTTCACTGTAGCCACAGGAATGGGTGAAGCTTAAATTTCACCCTCAACTTCTTTTGTTGTTTTACCTGATATTGCAGTTATATAAAAATTAATTCTACACAGTTGTCAAAGTCACCCTTATTTAATTACTACTACTAGAATCAATAAATCACCTCAGGCCCCACACTTTGAAGACTGGGTAGCTGGAATGATTGTCAAAAGGAAAGGAAAAAGCAGCCACACAATTTAGTGAAATTCATTGAGATTCAGAAGGCAAACAGAGTTCCCTATTCCATCCTATTGAAAGACAGTCCTTTTACCATAGTCACAGGGGACATCAAGCTCAACTGGCATAGTGCACTACACAAAACATTGTTCCACCTCCCACTTTGGCGAGTAGTGACTGGGATCTTAAAAGCTTGCAAGCAGCCATCTAGATGCAACAATGGGTGTCTCCTCGTTCATAGCAAAGAAGAATAAGGAAACCAAAGATTCATGGAAACAATTAGTCCAAGCAACTGGTACACCACGCAGTCTTCAAACTATACGACTATGAGACCAGAACTAGATGGTGCCTGGCTACCACTGTCAACCACTCAGAGGAGCATCTATGTAGGAGATCCTGGATAGAGAAGGAGAACAATGTGAAACAAAACTCAAAATCATTTGGGGAAAAAAAAAAAAGTGTGTGTGGGGGGACAGTTTTGCTGATCTGATAGACCCTGGTGGAACCTCTGAGACTATGGCCCCTAGCTAACTGTCTTTTGGTTCTGGAATTGAACCCACACCTGTGGCTTCCAGCCAAACAAAAGACAGGCATATGAGTTGAACATTTATTTACCTGAGGTAGATACACTCCTTGGAGAGATCAATCATGGGAGAATAGAAGGGCTATGTATGCACAGGGAGACAGCTCGGAGGCAGGAATGCATGGGAGGGAAGGACACAGCGAAGAGGTAACCATCAGGAGGAATGGGAGGGAGCTGCTGCACTGGGGTAAATTGTAGTCAATGTCATGAGACAAAGTGTATGTGAGCTGCTGTATGGAAAGTGAATTTGCTCTGTAAACTTTCACCCAAATCACAATTTTAAACAAAACAAAACAAAAAGACAGTCCTTTTAATAATGTGAACCTCAGTCTATATGACCATTAGACCAGAAGAACTAGATGGTGTCTGGCTACCACTGTCAACCACTTGGAAAGGGATCAGTGCAGGACATCCTGGATAGAGTGGGAGAACAATGTGGGACAAAACTTAAAATCATGAAAAAGACCAGGCTTACTGGTCTGATAGAGATTGTGAAATCCCCAAAACCATGGCCCCTAGTCACCCTTCATGCCTGGAATTGAACTCACTCCCATGGCTTCCAGCCAAACAACAAGACAGGCATATAAGGCAAACGTTTACACTAGGTAGGTACACTCTTTAGAATGATCAATCATGGCAGATCAGAAGGGCAGTGTTTGCACAGGGAGATAGCTCAAGAGGCAGGAATGCTTAGGAAAGAAGAACACAGGGAAGAGGTAACCACAAGGAGGAAGTGGGAAGAGAGTTGTTACCTTGTGGGGATTTCAATCAATGTCATGAAACAAAATGTGTATGAACTGCTGTATGGAAAATGAATTTGCTCTGTAAACTTTCACCCAAACCACACATACACACACAGGCAGGCCCTACTTCACACATGTGTGGAAATTAACTAAATATAAGAACTAAAAGAGTAAAACTCTTACAAGAAAACAGGGGTAAAGCTTCAGGACCTTGTTTTTGACAATAGATTCTTTGATATAACATCAAAAGCATTAGCATCACCTAAAGTACAACAATGTGTTCAAAAAACAAAACAAAACAAAACCCCAGCATGAGCAATAAAAGAAAATAGAACTAAATTAGACATTAGTATTAAACATTTTGTTTGCTTTTTTCTTTAAAAAAAAAAAAAAAAATACTGTAGTGAAACATATATAACAAAATATTTGCCATTGTATCAGTTTTTGTGTGTACAATTAATTCAGTGACAGTGACATTCATCATGTTGTGAAAATATCATCAGTTATCTGTTTCCAAATTTCTTCATCACCCTGAACAGAAAAACTCGGTACCTCTCAAGCAATAGTTCCCGTTCCCCCTCCCACTCACCCCGGCAGCCACTAATAACCTCTGGTCTCTATGCATTTACCTAGTCTAGGTCTTCTTTCATGTAAGTGAGATTATGCAGTATTTGTCCTTAGTTCACTCAGTATGTCTTCAAGGTTCATCCATGTTGTAGCATAATCAGAATTTATTTTCTCTTTATGACTAAATAAATACTCCTCCATTACATGTATTACATGTATATGCCACATTTTATTTACATATTCATCTGGTGATGAATACTCAGGGTGTTTGCACCTTTTGGCTACTGTGAATAATGCTGCAAAGAATGCTGGTGTCCAAGAATGTTTGAACACCTGTTTCCACTTCTTTCAGGTATATACCTAGGAGTGAAATTAAACACTTTTGTGCATCAAAAAACTTTACCAAGAAAGTGAAGAGACAACTCACAGAATGGGAGGAAATATGTGGTAATCATATATCTGCCAAGGATTTAATATCCAGAATACACAAAGGACTCCTACAACTCAACAACAAATGGACAAACAACCCAATCAAAAAACAGGCAAAAAACCTGAATAGCTATGTCTCAAAGAAGATACAGACATGGCTAACAGTCACATAAAAACACACTCAACATTATTAGTCATTGGGGACATGGAAATCAAAACCACAGTGAGACACCACTCTACAGCCACCAGGATGGCTATTATCAGAAAAACAGAAAATAATGAGTGTTGGTGAAGATGTGGAGAAATTGGAAATCTCATGCATTGCTGGTGGACATGTAAAATTGTGCAGTCACTGTGGAAAACAGTTTATCAAAAAGTTAATCACCCAATTATCATGTGACCTAGCAATTCCCCTCCTAGGTATTTACCCAAAAGAAGTGAAAACTCTAAAACAGACACTTGTACACCCTGGTTCACTGCAGCATTATTCACAGTGGCCATAAGGTGGAAACAATCCAAGTACCCATCAGGAGGTGAATGGATAAATAAAATGTGGTGAATACATACAATGGAATTCAGCCATAACCAGGAACGAAGTTCAAATACATGCTGTGACACAGATGAACTGGAAAATGTTGTTAGTTGCTGTTAACTAACAAAGTTGGCTCAGACTCATGGCAACCTTATGTATAACAAAATACTATGCTGAGTGAAATAAATACAAAAGAACAAATACCACATGATCTCAGTTATAGGAAATACCTGGAACAGGCAAATGCAGAGACCAAAGGTTGTTAGTGGTTATCGAGGGCTGCAGGGAGGAGCAGATGAGGAGTTACTGCCTGAGGAGGACTGAATTTCTATCTGTGATGATGAAAAACTTTTGGTACACAGTGGTGATGTTTGCCCAACATGGTGGCAGGAATTCATGTCCCTGAATTTTACATTTACAAATGGTTAAAGTGGGGGAGAAAATAAGGTTAAAGTGGCAATTTTTTTATTTTACCATAAAAGAAAAAAAAGAAGGCAGTCTTATGTCCAATGCATGAAGTCAATCTCGCAACCACAACTCCTTCTTCACTTTTCCTGATTTCACTTCTGTAGGAAGTGGGGGGAAGCAGGCTCATGATGCTTTGGGATGCCCTGTCTGCACCCTATACTACCTCTGCTCTAAGGTTAGCACACCTGCAAGCAGAGCCCACTTCCTGTTTCCTCAGGGGTCTCTGTGTGAGCCACCCCTTAGGGTGGCAGTATTTCCCCTTGTCCCCCAGCCAAGCTTGCTGTCTACCCTCCTTCCAAATCCTGCTCCAGACTGTGTTCTTGCACGAACTGTCACCAACCTACATCTGGCTCTGGTTCCTCCACCTTCTCTGCTGCCCTAGTCCTACCACCACGGCCTATGTGTACAGTCTATGGAGATGTGCTGGTACCTCTTTTGTCTTTAGATGTAACCTGTGTAGTGTTCTAGCATGGAGGGCAGGTGTTCAACTTGACTTTAACTGAGAGTAAGGACCACACCTCCTCTTTCCGTACCTCCTTCTCCTGTGCATGTGGGAAAGGGCCTGTATGGGATACGAAGTATAAGCTGTTGAGCATGGCAAAGGCACAGGGCCTTCCTACCGTTTGGTTCCCACCCTCTGATTGGGTGCAATGTCAATGGTATCAGTGACTGCGTCATGACGAACAGCCAGGCCCAGGTCTGCAATGGCACACATGCCATTTTTCTTGACCAAGATGTTCTTTGACTTCAAGTCTCGGTGAGCAATTCCAGGCTTCCCTGACAGGGGGCAAAAAGGAATATTTAGAGAAAGGTAGCAAAAAGGTTCAAAGCCCAGACTCTTGAGCCAGACTGTGAAGGTTCAAGCCCTGCCTTTGTCTCCCACTACCCTGGGAAAGTGAGCTAACCCCTCCGTCCCTCAGTCTTCGGAGACTGAGAACACCACCACTCACTTCATAGGAATGTTCTGAGGATTATGCATTAATGGAGGTGAATAAAGGATTCAGAAGGGCATGTGTATTAGCAAATATTACTAATACTACTACTGGCCTTCCCTGAACTGATATGCCTATGTCTACAACTGCTGAGGAATTCAAAGAGAAGTTGCTGTGTTGGCTGGGTTCTTGGAATCAAACAGGCCCAAGGAAAAAGACTGCCAATATCATGGCATGGGCTAGGAATGAGATCACACTTCAATGTCTGCCACTGTGAAAAGATCAAGGATCTTGTACAAAGTTGGTATCACAGTCTACAGCAGGAAAGCCTGAGGTCTTCTTCCTCCAAGAAAACCTTCCTGGGTTAGTAAAGCCCAGTGTTTAATCCACCATGCAGTTTTAAACCCAGCTGCTCCCACCAATGAATGTAAAAAATTACTAAGATGATGGCCCACGCATTACTTTATCTTCTAAGTTCTACTCTTCTATGTGCATGCTGTGGGCTTCCTTAATAAAGCTAGCTTACCAACAAGCTACGACGTCAGGGCACCGAAGGACAAATAACACCGACCTCTGAGGGATTCTAAAACAGAGGTGACGTGCACCACCTTTCTATACCTCTTGTTTTCTTTCACTCAAGGAAAACACAAACTCCTCTCCTTTAGATTCGATAGTCATTCCTGAGGTCCAGCCCCAACTTTTGCAGTAAAAAAGGAATTCTGGGAACTTAATGAATATGACGCAGGCTTTTAAAGTCTACTCAATTCCACTCACCTTGCGTACCCACAATCTCCATATGCAGGTGTGCCAGCCCACTAGCAGCAGACAGGGCCAGTTTGATCATCCCCTCGATCGTCACTGTGTACCGGTTAAGATAATCGAACAGAGAGCCATGCTCGTGGTAGTCAGAGACGAGCCACAGCTGTGTCCAGGTGCCGTTATCTGCAGAGAACCACACGGGAATTCCAGAAAAGGCACACCAGCAGCAGAAAGGACGTTTCCGTGCACATGACATGACCCAGTCGGGCTCCTGAATTTGCATTTCTTACTTCTACACCTCCTGATGCACCCTCTAGGCCTGTTTCCTCTACAGGTGTCCACTTTTGGGCTCCAGTAAGGACAGAGGGGGAGCTCTGGTAGCATAGTGCCTAAGGCGCTTGACTGCTAACCAGAAGGCTGGTGGTTCAAACCCACCAGCCCCTCCTCGGAAGGAAGGTTGGGCAATCTACTTCCTTAGTGATACCGCCTCAGAAATCCAAGGAGGGGTCGCTATGAGTCAGGTTCAACTCGACAACACATAACAACAACAACAAGAACAGAGGAGGAGCCCTGGTGGCACAGTGGTTACAGCACTTGGCTGCTAACAGAAAGGTCTGCAGTTGGTCGGCCACTCTGTGGGAGAGAGATGAGGCAGTCTGCTTCTGTTAAGGATTTACAGCAGCCTTAGAAAACATACGGGGCAGTTCTACTCTGTCCTATTGGGTCACTCTGAGTCAGAATCGACTCGATGGCAGTGGGTTTGGTTTGGTTTTTAAAGACAGAGGAATGGTATTTTTTCCTTAGCCTTGCTCCTTTATTTCTTATAGGTAGGCTGCAGGATTCCACACAGTGCTACGCTTTTAAAGCAAGTTTGAAAATGCTGAGGTATCCATAAGAGGAAGCATATGGTTAGGGAAAGTGACAGGTATCTTGGTTAGTGCACAATGCTGCTTTTGATCTTGAAAAGACAGGCTCCTCACACTAAAGCAACCCTAACTGGTTGCATCTACCACCACCATGGAGGAAGGTGTCTCTGTGTTCCCAGGACACTGTAAACACAGCTCAATCACAGCACCTGTCTCATCTGAATGAATGTTTCTTTTTAAGTCTATTGTTCTACTCTGTGAGAGCAAGCAAGCTCTCCTTCAGGCGTCCCTGTATCCCAGGCCAAACAATGCTTTCCAGCGTGTGAAGAGCACACTTCCAAATATTTGAGAAGCCATCATATCCTCAGGAGAGCAATGGAAAGTGGCTAATATGGAAGATGGCTATTTTCTCTCTTTTACACATTTGGGAGTGAGGGTGCAGTGCAGTGGAGCAAAGAGGAGGAGGAGGAGGGCAGGAATGGAAGGAAAAAAAAGACCAAAAGCAGATAATCTAATTAGGCTATGCTGCTCTCAACAGGAAGACTGAAACTGGACTGAGACCTCCCAAATTCGAGGCTGGCACCAGTTCCAGGTCACCATACTATGTACCATGCTAAAAAGGCAAGAACGGAGGAAGATTTTTCTCCTTTCTTGGCCCTAATGTGGGTTTCAACAGCCAGAGCCCGACTCCAACAAGCTGCCAGAATCAATAAAGGGAGCGGCTGCTGGAAAAGCACGACTCTTGGCTTCTCTTACTACAAACCAGGGCCCACCCTGCACACCCCTCATGCTCCAGCCAGCCCCGAAGTCTTGAGGACCCGGCAAATGAGCTAAAAGGGAAGACGTCTTTGATCCTTTAAAATAGATGTAAGATTTAAATTTCATCAAAAGGTGATGCTGTTTTCAAAAGCAGCTGCTTACTCGGAGGGAAATTCTCTTCCCCTTCGGTGTGTGAGTCCAAGACTCTGCAGCTTGGGGGCAGCTGAGGCCATGACAAAGCCCCACAGCAATGTGAGGAATGAGCAGTCTGCTGTTGTTTTAGGAAAGAACAATAAATACTTGCATCTTCTGTAGGCTTTGGAGACACCAACTTTTAAAATCTCTGTGCATGGGAGCAAACTGCATCACAAACGCCAGAGAGACCCTGCTAAGTATAAACCTAATCACCTCATGGCCCTTTCTGCATGTCAGGTGCACTGCCTGTCCAGGCGTCTGTCTTCCCCTATTACTGGGAGCTCTGTAAAGGGAGGGCCTGGGTCTTGTTCTTAAGTGTCAATCAAACAGCTAGCAGAGTTTCTGGTCCACAGTAGTCAATAAATGTTGTTGAATTAATGAGTGAAATTTCAACTACTCCCGCTATCTTCAGAAGAAAGTACAAACTTCTCAACAAGGCCCTTCAGAATTTGTCCTTTGCCAACCCTCCAGCCTGTCTTTAACCACAACACAGCCCTCCTGAGTTACCTGCAGGTTCCCAGACACATCTCACCTTTGCACATGTGTCTGGAGTGCCCTTCCCACTAGTCTGTTTCTTCCCGGTCAATTCTTGCCATCTTTGCCTTATCAAGCCCACGGTGGCCTTCCCTCGGAAAGAGTTCCCTGACCCTCACCACGCCCTCAATTTGTGCTTTCCAAACAGCTTGTGCTTGCCTCCTACCAGTGACTCTTAGGTTACTTGTCTCTTTCCTAGTCAGTGAGGTTCTGAAAAATAGGGACACACCTGGGCAATACAAGAGTGAATCAAAAACTAAAGCAAGAAAAGAGGCAGAGAAAGGAGGAGACAGGGACTCAGTACAGGCCAGGCCCAAAGCTGAGCTAGAGGCCACCAGGCAGCCTCTTTGGGGTAGGCTGGCCACTCCTCCTCTGCGCCTCTCTACTAGGAAAGAGTATACGGTTCTGGTCATGCCACGGAACACACACTGTGTGCTTTTCTACTCTCTGGAGCTACCTTTCCTGGCAGGGGTTGAGGCTATAATCCTCATTGTAGTAATTTTCAAAATAAACTCCTGGAACCCCTGCAGGGACCACAACGGGAATGTGTTTGGTTGAGTGTCAAGAGGGGAAACTGAGCAACTAGGGTGAAGGGGTTTACCTTGTTCATCTGCTTAGTAACTGCCTGTTGATCTGTTTAGTAAACTGGGCCTCTGTTTTAAACTTTTTCTGGAATAAAGGGCTTCATATCTTAAGAAAAGTTTGAAAACTATGATCTTATTCAGATTCTCTCTGACACAGGCAATAACTACAAAGGCAAATAGAGCTGTGTGGTCAAATAGCTGTTCACTTCCCTAGCAGGTCTCCATCTTAGATGCTGCTACCATGGAGACACCCTGCATTCTGTACCTTTATTGTCAGCAGCAATAAATCCAAGGATGTTTTCATGCCGCAGCATGACTGTCTGGTATATTTCTGCTTCCCGGAACCAAGACCGTTCTTCACGCGAAGAGAAAATTTTCACAGCCACATCACCTCCTCTCCAGCGGCCGCGCCAGACTTCCCCAAACCGGCCCTTGCCAATGATCTCCTGTAAGACGATGGTTCGAGCCACTGTGCGCTGGACAAAAAGAGGTAACCCTGTGGGCCAAAGAATGGAAAGAAATCTTTCGTTGTACATTTACTAAACTGTAAATTTACTCACAACTCTCGGGGCTTACTGCTACATTGGAAAGGCCTGTAACAGTGTCTCTGTTCTTCACTTGCACATTAACCACAAGAAGCTGCGGCTGTCCCCTGCACTATGCACTTCTCGGTAATCTACAGAGAGCTGAGCCTGGTGGCAAATGGGAGAGAACACAGAAAGGGTACATGTACGATGAGCTGTTCCTTATCTAAGCATTTTCTCCTCTCAGTTAGTATGGATGTACTATGAATGTAAATGTTTGACCAGATTTACCAACTCTGCAGCCAGCTACCGGTGGGCCGATCCACCCACATCTGGTTTATCCTGGTGAAAGAGGAAAGGCCGCAAGGTGGCACAGAAGATGGAACCAAGGCTTATGTTTTGGGAGCAACCTCTGACAGTTCTGCTCACTATCCACTAGAGGGCAGTGCTGCATGGCCCATGAAAGTAGCAACTAAGGTTGTCTTCTGCTAAGATCCCTGGTCAGGCATGAAAGGTTCCTACCCCCCTCCAAACAGATCAAAGTTCTACTCACAGACAATTCTGAACTCCAGACGTAGAATGGGGACTATCTATGCTTATTATAAGATTAATTTTACTGTCCGTACAGGACACAGTTACCGCCTGATTTGACTCACTCAATGTCTCCCTATCTATACGATCACCCTCACCATCATGAATGACACTTCACTCTCTTTCTCTTTCCCTGTGCAAATACATAAACAGATAAGCAAATCTGTTATCAGTTCTTGTCTTGTACATGTGAACTACCGTTTACCGTATGCTTACTACGTATTAAGCACGATGCTAAGGGCTTTATGTAAATTATCTCATTTCCTCATAACCATGTATAAGATGGATACTGTTATTATCCCCATTTTACAGATGAGAAAACTAAAGCTCAAAGAAGATTAAGTAACTCATCCAAAGTCATACAAGTGGTAGCCCAGGATTAAAATCTAGGACTGACTGATTCCAAAGTCTATGCTTTTAACTACACCAGTATACGTCCACCAAACTGTTGCCTAAATTAGACCCCACCTCTCCATCCCTACTGCACCTGCCCTAGTTCAGGGCTTTCTTTAACCTTTTTATAACTTGAGGGGCATACAGTGCCCACTGACATTTTCTACCTCTGACATTTAGTGGGAAGCTGCTATCCCACTTTTAGTGCATGCTGCCATCTAGTGGGGGCCTATATAATTGCATGAATCTAAGGAAATCTGCCTTATTCCACCAACCCCAGTACTAGAGATCCCTTGGGACATATGTGTCCCACTAATTGTATAAAAATCCATTATTACCTCAAAAAAAATTTTTTTTCATTTCAAAATGCCTTCCATTACTGAAAACACATGGTTTCAATGTAAAATTCAAAAGCCAAAAATAACAAAATGTCACAAAAGGGTTAAAAGAGGTCTAAACGGTCTCCCTGCCTCCCATCTCACCTTGCTCCTGCCTTGAACACACAGCCCTGACTCACCCCACTCTCCCTAATGAGAAGTTGGTAAATGAATGAATCTTGTCCTCTACACCACTGCCAGATTCCTTTCAAAGCAAAATATGAACATTCAAATTCCTCTTATAAAAACTTTAAGTAGATCCTTCTGACCTATAAGATAAAACATGGCACTCAATGTCCTTTACCTCTGGGCCAGCTCACCTTTCCCCACCACTACCCGCCCCCCTCATCACAAGCACATCATGCTAGTCTCCTTATCATTCCCTAAATGTACTGTGGTGAACTTTCCGCCTTTTTGATCTTTTGCTCAAGGTGCTTTTCTTGGCCTGGAATGTTCCCTGCCTTTTTACCTCTATTAAAAACTCAAACTCATTCTTTAATCCTCCTTTAAATGCGTCTTCCTCTGTGACAGCCTTCCCAACAGCCCCTGTCTCTTCTACCCAATCCTGGGTCAGTCCCTTTTTAGTCTTTGTTCACCCATTATCATCTAGAGGGACTCCATATATATCTGTTAATATGAATTAAAAGTCACATAAGCAGTATGGATTTATCACTTTAAAAATCACATGATTGAAAATCCAGCACCCTGGGAGGTCTGCATATTCTGAATTAAGAATGAACTGAAGGACCTAGAGAGTAGTAGTTATTAACCATCTTCCTCCAGATGACCAAATAACCACCACGGTCCTTCCCTAGCCTCAGCCAGTTCTGTTCTTAAAAGGACTCCAAAAACCAGCTCTATCCTCCTCCAGCAGCAGATCGAGTCAAGAGTCAGCCAGGTGACTTGCGGGCTCAGGACCATGGTTGCAGGGGACATCAAGCTCAGGAGTAACATACTACACAAAAACACTGTTCCACCTCCTACTTTGGTGAGTAGCACCTGGGATCTTAAAAGCTTACAAGATCTAGATACAACAATGGGTCTCTCCTCGTCCAGAGCAAAGAAGAATGAAGAAAACCAAAGACACATGGAAACAATTAGTCCAAGTGACTGGTACACCATGTAATCCTCAACCTATACGACTATGAGACCAGAAGAACTAGATGGTGCCAGCTACCACTGTCAACCACTTAGAGGGTGATACATGTAGGAGATCCTGGATAGAGTGGGAGAACAACATAGAACAAAACTCAAAATCATAAAAAAAAGAAAAAAAGGAGGGGGGTGCCGGATACCAGGTTTACTGGTGTGATAGAACCTGGTAGAACCCCGAGACTATGGCCCCCAGCTGCCTTCAGGTCTGGAATTGAACCCACTCCTGTGGCTTTTAACCAAACAAAAGACAGGTATATGAGTTGAACAGTTACCTGAGGTAAAGACACTACTTAGAGAGATCAAGAAAGACCGAGTCTGCACAGGGAGACTGCTGGGGGGCGGTAACTACAGGGAGGAAGTGGGAGGGGAGCTGTTGCATCGTGGGAAATTGCAGTCAATGTCATGAGACAAAGTGTATGTGAACTGCTGCATGGAAAGTGAATTTGCTCTGTAAACTTTCACCCAAATCACAATAAAAATTTTAAAAAAAGTCAGCCAGGTGGTTCTAACCACTGCTCTACCTCTTTCAGCAAAGAACAAGCCATATATTTTTTCTCTTTCTAAAAATATGCACTTTTAAATATATCCATCATTTTGGCACTCTGTACTGCAGAGTTTAATAGAGGCAAAACCACTGAAATTCAGGAGATGTCACAGCTCAAAGTATTCCTTGTGTTTGAGGAGGAATGTCTGGCCATGACTGACGGCATAATTTCCCTACAGAACAACAGTCTTGTCACATGGTAAAGGAAACATACATAAAACACAAAACACTCTCACAAGTAAGATCCTGTATGCTTTAGCAAGAATGGGATAGTGACCCACGTACATGATTTTTCCCCCCAAGAAAGGAATACCACTGTCACTAAAATAATTGTTTGTCTTCATGAAAAGGCTCCTGCAGTCATGTTCACACTAACAGCTGGCTATCATATCCTGGAACCTGAAAAATCTCAACTCCTTTTATCCTAAATCCAGGTCTCATGGCAAAGGTGCAACGTTCGGTTCAAATCCCTCATCTAAGGAAGACGGGGTTAACAAGACATAGGACAGGAAATGGTGCTGAGAACTCAAGCAGCCTTTACTTTAACCCCCACCGAAAAACCCTTGGGCAACTGGTACGAGTCAATGATTCACCAAATCCCAACCCTAAGCTTTACTCAATGCCCTTAAACTCCCCTTGTGGTTGCCCAGAGATCAATGATTAGCCATCACCACCTCACAGGAATCCGGCACACTCCTGTTTCTCAAAAGGGGCCTGTAAATTGAGCACTCCACTGCTCAGGTGGAACCAGCTGAATTTTAATAAAAGCACAGTTACAAGACTCCAAGAGAGGCAGGTTTTCTGGACTGGAGAGTTTTGTGCTTGACCTTTGGAATCCCAGTGAGTGAAAGATTTTCTGTGAACCCATAATCTTATCTGACTACATGTCAGACTCCCAAGGAAGGGGAATTATGAAACCAAATGACTCAACGCTGGTAAAAACAAATGCAGGGCCCCCAGCCATCTTCATCAACACACGATCTGGCTGCTGGGAAGCACTGATGGGAGGCCAACAACTGACACAATGCCTTGCAGAACCCAGTACCTGAGCCAGACCCTGATGTGGAGAGATCGTAGACGAGATCCTGGAGCGTCTTGTCTTTGGAGAGACACATTTCACACGAGGGGTCCTCCATGTCTAGTCTCTGGCGGTTGTGGTAGACTCGCTGATGATAGTTAATGACGAGGAAAACAATGATGATGATGAGAAACAGGAGGAACACGGGGCCGGCAATGATGCCCACCAGCTCCACAGGGCCCCACATGGAAGGGTGCTCAGGCTCCTTGAGGTGACCTGGACAAGTGAGACGGGGAAGTAAAGAACAAGGGAAAGCCCCAGCACTGCCCACGAAGTGAAAAAGGCCCCTTCCCATCTCAGTGTGTTCAGGGTGCCCTTGATCCCTTTGGACACTGGGCAGTGTGTCTTGCCTGGAGATTCTCAGATGCCAAACTTCTTTAGCTACGGCGTTCAATAGTCTTACCCACAAGCCACTTTGTAATTTCACAGGACTATTCCTACCAAGGAGTCCTGGTGGCACAGTGGTTAAAGCGCTCAACTGACACTGTGGAAAAAGATGCAGCAGTCTCCTGTAAAGATTAAAAAAACCCACTGCCACTGAGTCTATTTCAACTCAGAGTCACCCTTTAAGACAGAGTAGAACTTCCCTATAGGGTTTTTAAGGCTGTAAATCTTCATGGAAAGAGACTGCCTCCTTCAGAGCTGCTGGTAGATCCAAACCGCTGACCTTTCGGTGAGCAGACAAATGTTTTAACCACTAGGCCACCAGAGCGTCTTCTCTTGAAAACCCTATGGGGTGATTCTACTCTGTCCTATAAGGTCACTATGAATTGGAATTGACTTGACAGCAATGGTTTTGGTTTTGGAATTCCCACCTCGACACCCTAAACAGAAGCCAGTTTCTATCCTTTAACTTACAATAGCTCCTCTAAGCTCTGCTCTAGTCTCTCTCCTTTTCCTTTGAGTTCCTCTTCAGTTAATACCTTCTAAACCTTTAAACTCACTTGGTGGCAGGCTTGCAAAGAGGCAGTTACCTATTTCTCATCCTTGATCACTGTCCCTCCTTTCCAATTCTTGCCCCCTCAGTCCCCTTTGCACAGCTCTGGGGCGACCTCTTCAGGTTCAGGCCTGCATCCTCCAACGGTGAGCCCTGTCTGACTCTTCCACTTTTCACCAGCTACCCAAGGCTGTTCAGCCACTATCCAAAAGCTAGCTTTCACCTCTGGGACTAACTTGAAATATCTGTCTCACTCATCCCCCCACCATCCCTACCCCCAGTCTGCAAACCTGACTTGACAGGAATTCCAACGCTTATCACCTTAAGGAATAACAAAAATGTACCTTTACCTATGATCAAACAAAGGGATTAGGGAAGAGTAGAGAAGGATGAAATGACAGGGGTGCCCTACCTCCAAGATGAGCCAATAGTCCAACAAGGGTGTCCACTCACCACTGGGCACCCTCAGGTCGATCTTGTTGCAGAAGTCAGTGTAGCAGCAGTGGGTATTACGCAGATCTTCTGAGCTCAGGCAGTAGAAGGGCTTCCCCGCGGGGACCAGCTCCACTTTGGGGATGCAGGTGCGCACATGGTGCTCCATCCCATCCAGGTTGAAAATGGAAACCATGCAGGCCCCATCTGTTTCACACGTGTAGTTGGCCTGTAGGCAGCTGGTGCATGCGCACAGCAGAGCTGCAGGAAATGTGAAGGAGACATTGGTGGTGGGACCTTATCCTAGGTCCTTTTCTAGACTTAGAATATCATCCCTTAGCATAGTTGATATTTCAAAGCAAGGGACTTTTAGAGAGATGGGGCCAGAAAAGTGAAACCTTCCAACTGAGGCATAACCTTTCCACCTGTTTATTCAGCTCAAGAACAAGGCTGTCTAGGCCCCAGGTCTTCCTCTAAGTGCTCTTTTGTATGCCTATGAGAGAAGTTACCTTTTGAACTTCACCCCAGACTTACTATAAATTATTGTATGGCCGGGAAAAGACGTTTTCCTTCAAATCTCAATGCCTATAGATAGGAGAAAGCCATCTTCCCTTCAGAGAATATAGGATACCGCCCCTCCTCCTGGCTCAACTAAAGCCACCCAGGGTTCCTCAATGCTGTTACCACCCTTAGCTCCTCTCCCAGGTGCCAGACATGCCTAAGGTCTCCTGAATGCAGAGTGCATGCTCTTGCACACTTTTGGGGCCTTTAGTCTGCATCAGGGAGCTCTGGAAGCATAGTGCCTAAAGCACTTGACTGCTAACCAGAAGGCTGGCGGTTCAAATCCACCAGCCACTCCTTGGAACGAAGATGGGGCAATCTATATCTGTAGTGATACTGCCTTGGAAACCCAAGGAGGGGTCGCTATGAGTCGGGTCCAACTCAACGGCACATAACTACAACAGCTGCAGTCTGCATCAGGGGCCCATCTCATCAAACTCCGGGCCCACATTCTTCTATTACAGCACTTATGGGCAGAGAGGATCTCAGAACCAGTTCAGTATAGTTCTTCAAAGGTCTCCAATGAAACCTAGGGGCTTAGTTAGGACATACTTCTTAAGCAGCCTGTCTATGAAGTGTTCCTAAATGAAGTACCACCCCAGCAACAACACTAGAAAGAACCACAGACCAAAATCTGACAGAGTATTTCCAATCCTCTCCAAAGGACAGGAAGGGGAAACTCACAGGCATGGAATAACCACTAAATGCTAGGATCTTCCTCTACAGACTTCAGATTCAGGAGGAAAACAGTGACAACCTGGACACGTTGCCTCTGACTACACTGCTTGGGGGAAAGAGAAGAGGAGAGAAAATGAAAGAAACTAAAGCAGAAGTGAACCACTTTTTCTATGTGTTCCTTCACAGGCTTCCCTAACTTCTCATTCCCTTCTTCTCTCTTCTGGTACCATCTAAGGAGGAGGCAGAGCGGTTAAAGAATTCGGCTACATAACCGAATGGTTGGTGGTTTGAACCCACAAGCCACTCCGTGGGAGAAAGATGAAGCAGTCTGCTTCTGTAAAGATTTACAGCCTTGGAAACCCTATGGGGCAGTTCTACTCTGTCCTACAGGATCACAAAGAGCTGGAATTGACTTGATAGCAGTGGGTGTGGTTTTGGTACCATATAACCCCAAAGAGAATAATATTAGTGCCTACCTCTAAAATTAACATGAGGGTTAAATAAGATTATGGGGAAGAAAAAAAAGCTCAATAAATTTAAGCCACTTAAAAGGGCCCTGGGTATCACTTTTTAAAAACAAATATACAGTATCTCTAAAATATATATAGTTAAAAAATATAAATACATTTTAAAATGAGTCCTATGACAAGGGACAAGGTGGTAGTCACTTGGTCACAGCCAGCTACCCAGATGGACCGAGTAGTTGAACCTGTGGGCTCGGGACCATAGTCACAGGGGACATCAAGCTCAACTGGCATAACACACTACACAAAACATCATTCCACTTCTTACTTTGGTGAGTAGCAACTGGTATCTTACAAGCTTGCAAGCAGCCATCTAGATGCAACGATGGGTCTCTCCTCATCCAGAGCAAAAAAGAATGAAGAAAACCAAAGATTCATGGAAAGAATTAGTCCTAGTGACTGGTACACCATGTGATCTGCAGCCTAGACAACTATGAGACCAGAAGAATTAGATGGTGCCCGGCTACCACTGTTAACCACTTGGAGAGGGATCTGTGTAGGAGATCCTGGATAGAGAGGTAGAACAATGTGGAACAAAACTCAAAATCATTTGGGGAAAAAAAAGAGGGGGAGACCAGGTTTGCTGGTCTGATAGAGCCTGGTGGAACCACTGAGACTACGGCACCTAGCAGCCCTTCAGGTCCGGAATTGAACTCACACCTGTGGCTTCCAGCCAAACAGAAGACAGTCATATGAGTTGAACATTTACCTGAGGCAGATACACTCCTTGGAGAGAACAATCATGGGAGAAAGAAGGGCTGCTTATGCACAGGGAGACAGCTCAGGGGGCAGGAGTGCATGGAGGGATGGACACTGGCAAGAGATAATTATCAGGAGGAAGTGGGGGGGAGCAGTTGCATTGTGGTAAATTGTAGTCAATGTCATGAGACAAAATGTATGTGAACTGCTGTATGGAAAATGAATTTGCTCTGTAAATTTCCACCCAAATCTCTCTCTCTCACACACACACACACACACACACAGAGCTCTAGTGGCATAGTGCTAACCAGAAGGCTGGAGGTTCAAACCCACCAGCCACTCCTCGGAAGGAAGACTGGGCAATCTACTTCCGTAGAGATACTACCTCAGAAACCCAAGGAGGGGTTGCTATGAGTCAGAACCCACTTAAAGGCAGCGAGTTTGGTTTGGTTTGGATATATACATATGTATGTGTATATATAGGAGCTCAGGTGGCATAGTGCCTAAGGCATTTGACTACTATATGTGTGTGCATGTGTGTATATATGTGTGTGTGTGTGTGTGTATGTATATATTTCCCCCCTCCCCCAAATAGGTAGTATATGCAATAATCTCTAGGACTAATGGATTCTGCTGGTTGTGTATTATACATAAGTGTGTACTGTTGACAGGAAATTACTGTAAATGAATTGGCGCCTCTAAAAGCCAGTTCAGCAGCCCTGGAATCTGAAATCCTTTATTTATCCCTCTAACAAGAATAGCACAGACAGCAGCAGTTGGTTTTTCCCAATACTGTCTCCCATGAGCCTAACCTAGCCTTGACCTCTTAGGATGGGCAGGAGTATGGCTTTGGCTAGGAGGACACTTAGGCTGGGCCTCATTCACCCAGAGTGTCAGATTACCACCTAGGAAAGGTAAGCACAGGCTTATTTGTGCTTACTTACAAATGTGTAGTGAACACTTACACATTTTTTTTACCACATCAAAGATCCTGCTTCTAGGTATGACTGGCATCTGTCTCTCCCCCAATTCCACACACCACTTAGAGAATCAAAGCTTCTTTTCAAATTTACAGGGACAGAGTACCTGGTAAGCAAGGTAAGCACAGGCTTACTTGTGCTTACTTACTAATCTGTAGTGAACAGTTTCACATGGTTTTCACCGTATCAAAGATGGTGGGTCTGTGGGCCATATGGGTTTGTAATAAGGAAATAACGGGCAAATCTCTGACCTTACAGATTAGTAGATAAGCACAAGTAAGCCCAGGCTTAGGGCCTATCCAAGTCCTAGACTGGACACCAAGTGAATACCACCTGGATACTGTGCAGCAATATGTTTAACTAAGGCTCTTAGAGAAGAGACATTTATGACATGTCCCATAAAAAAACTACCCTGTCATAAGTCACTCCTTTAAGCTGTAAACAGTCTATCTTCGTCTCTTGCTCTAATACACTGGAAGGCATCTCTTGGCCTTTCAAATCCCAAGACAGATTCTAAATATCACAGTATCCAACCCCTCCTTCCTCAGGCTTTCTATAAAGGACATGAGCCGGGGCTCTTCCTACCCGAGGAGACAAAGGAGGGTGGCCCTGGCAGGTATGCCGGAAGTGGAGAGAGTCACTGTTGTGCCTGGTCTTATTTTTGCAACGTCTGATCAGATCCCTTTCTCCTGGAAGAACTTCCAAAACCTGCTGAAAGGCTTGGATAGGGTTATTTCTTAAAGGGCAGAAATTTTAAGTAGGCACCCTTTAGTTGAGGATCCAGATCATAAAAGGAATTAAAAAAATAAATTCCTCCTAAATTTCTATTTCAACCTTTTTAAACACAAGAAAGACTAAGGAACCTCTTCAATTTTTCCTCCCGAATATCTTCATTTGGTCCTTCTTTTATTCTCGTCGCTAACGAAAATTGACTCGTGCAACTCTCAGAGTACTCCATCTTTTCTGTGCACTGGAGGCCTGACTGCTCCCCTGCCTGGGACCTAAGAACACAGATTCCCAGTCCCTTCTGTGTCAGTGGGACATCTCGGCACAGAAGGTGCTTCCTGTGAGAGGGCACCTCTCAACGCTCGCGCCGTGATGTCCAGCAAAGAGAACAGCATTTGGTCTATTTCGGAAAGCAAGAAAGAGAAATTAACAACTTCAAGAGAGGACTATTCTGAGAACCATGAGACACACAGCCGCCTTTTTATAAAGAGCTCACTTCAGAGTCCATCAATTAGCAGGGCAGGATAGTCAGGAGTTTCTCTGATTCCAGATATTTATTCTCCTCTGGTTGGTTCATGGCCTTTTTCACAGTGATTCATTCTGGAGAATGAACACACCCACACATGGCTCATTATTTTTGGGAAGTACTTAAACAATCTTGGTGTAAGACGGGAAAGAACAAAAGTGGTGAAATCTATGCTAGACAGGACGAAGAGCGGAACTGGGAGTTGGGCCATGTGGGTTTGTGATAAGGAACTGGGCAAGTCCCCGACCTATCTGGGCCTCCACTGCACAACCAAAAATACAGTTGGGTCCTCTGTATCCAAGGGTTCCACATCTGTGGATTCAACCAGCTGTGGATGGAAAATATGGAGGGGTGGGGAAGCAATTAAGTGGTCAAAGCAACCCCTCAGAGGTTAGGAGAGAGCATAGCATGCTATTTACATAGCATTTACATTGTACTAGGTATTATAAGTCATCCAGAGACGATTTAAAGTATACAAGAGGCTATATGTAGGTTACATGCAAATATATCATTTTATATAAGGGACTTGAGCATCCAGGGATTTTGGTTATCTGTGGCAGTCCTAGA